GGAGTCCACCTTCACAGCAGAGAGTTTCACACTCTGGAAAACAAGTTCAGTACATGTAACTTCATAACAAAGGATTTCTGGGAACTGGAGAAAACATAAAACACCCTCCAGTTTAAATTGGGACTGACCTCCCATGGGTGTGTGTCGCTGAGATATGCATATCTCAGCGACACACACCCAGTTGGACTGAAATCCCACTATACATGTACTAGGTAAAATGATGAAATCAGAAATGACCAAAACTAATGGATATGTACCATGAAAATTCTCAATGACATGAATAAACAATGGTTCAACCAAAATTTATTATTGCTTGCAACTTATTTCTAGTTGATAATAATCATTGAAATGTATGTTTAGGCCACACCAATTTAATTTGTTGGTTCTCGGATTCGCCTCTTCGTTTTTTTCTGATTTGCAAAAAAAAAAAAATTTGATTCTGGTCCTGAATCAACTGAAAAATGCTCATGTTTTGCCCCCAACAGTTGAGGAAAGTCCTTTTCTTCCTAGTTGTTACAGTTTTCCCATCTATCATTGCAGTGGTTTGATTAAAAGTTCAAAATTCAATGTTTAAATTTTAACCCAGCCTTTTATGTTGACTTCATGGCTCATTTCGTAGCATTTAAGCCTATAATAGGATGCCTAGACCTGTTTTTATTTTTATTTTTTTTCGCCCTGTCGCTTCATATTTTTTCTGAAAAAATCCGAGAACCAACAAATTAAATTGGTGTGGCCTTAGAAGAGGAATGTCAAAATCTGATTACAGTTATACGCTGTCAACAATCGGAACTAAATGTACATCATTCTGTAAGGATTTTGGACACTGAACAAGACTATTTCCTGAGAGGGGTGAAGGAGGCCATATACATCAGGGCCCATCACCCTACATTGAACCGCGACGGGGGCCGACATCGTCTACCAGATACCTTTGGCCCAGTGTTGACGTCACACTTCGAAGAAGCCACATGACAAGCTTCACTGGGTCAGTCTACTAAGGAAGACAGGGTGACTGGTCGAAAGCTCTAGGTGAGAGAATTTTTTTATGTTGGACCAAAAGTTTTAACTTTAAACATGTACAATCATTCTGTTGATTATTAGTTTAATTATAATTCTATAAGACAGAAAGACAGCAGTATCCTCACCACAAACGGCATCTCTGGGTTGTTACACACAGCACATGGATCAGTCTCCAGGTAGAAACCATCAAACTCCACCAAACCTGACAGCAGACTGACAAACAAAGGAAAGCATTACATGTAATTCAACTTGTATATTATATACAAGACAGTACATATTAATACACACATACACGTGGCTTGCAAACAGGAGGGCATACTGTAACAACCATAAAGCAGTTAAACTTACTGTGAATTTTCCACGAAGAGTCCATTGGTGACATTCACCCTTCACTCATCATTACATATTATACAACATAAAATACCCAGGCGACATTACAGTGATGTAAAACACAATTTACGTATTCAAGATGAAATAAAATATACTTATCTCCTAAGAAAAAGACATAGAAAACACACAAGTCACTGATGTATAATAATACATGTAATTAAAATTTTGTAACATTTCCAAATATGCCGGACATACACGTAGGTTGACTAATAACCTCTACAGAACATTGTTCACATGGCAGACACAGATTTCTCAAAAATCATGAACAGATCTAGATTTACTTCCTTGTACTAGTAGGTAGAAGTTGGCCCAAGGAAGAAGTGATTTGCCATGCCAGGTTCTAAGTTTCTAAGCCTGAACAAAAATCAACAGTAGGGAGTTTGTCTTCCTTTTACAGAAGTCATGCTTTTGTGCATTCAATGTTTAACATTGAATACAATTACAAAATGCTTTTTTTGTCTCTTTGACTGACAAGAATATGCCTGATTCCTCTTTATTTAATTTCAGGCAGATCCTGCAACATTAATATACCACCTGCAGAGGAGCTATTGCTGAATGTCAGTAGCATTGTAACTAGACAACCATTACAGGATAAGACTGGATACTACAGTACTACATACTGTACAAATAACAACATGAGTGTAAAAATGCTGAAGTGCTCACTTGTATATGTTTGCATTGCAGTGGTCTGCTAACACCCTGTTCTGTTGTTTGAGGAGGGAGAAGGCTCTTGTCAGGTAGCTGCTGGCCTGTAAAACAATTTAAATTTACATATTATTTTCACAAGGTTCTTTCAGAATTTACTTACTATCATGATGTAATACATGACAAGATTCTGGTTCTAAGTCTGCGAATTCCCTTACTATATAATATTATACAGACAGGGAATAATCATCATTTATCAATTCTTGACTATTGGTGCTAGTAAATGAAATACACTACTACTTATTACTGAGTTCATGCAATTAATATTTCTTGGATCCTGCAATGAAAGTAATTATATGACAGGGCTCGAAATACTGGGTGCATGTGCACATGAGTGCACCCAAATTTGGAGCTGTGCACCGAAATATTTTTGTAGGTTTACGGACTGTATGTAAAGATGTTAAACAACATATAGTTAGTATACAGCATATTCTTAATAATCTCAGTGTCAGAAAAAAAATTATTTGTAGTACTTTTCTTAAGAAATGAAACATCATTAGTTGTTACTGACATCTTCATCAGGGCATCAGGGCAAGTAACATCTAGCATCAGTGCACAGCAAACCAGTCAGAATTGCCCTGATGAAGATGACAGACGGTCATCGAAATGTCGGCTCATAAAAATAAATGGTTGTGATCAAAGAACTTTACTATTCATTCGTTTACCAACCTGATGAAATTATTTACTGACAACTGAGAGCTGTTCCACTGAGTACTGTACCTTTTCTTTGAACACTGAACACTTGAGGGAGAAGTAGCCCAGCAGGTCCACAAACTGAGCTGCCTTCCTGCCGTAGGAGGGGAGATGTGGCCAGACACCCCACATCAGGTCCAGCAGCAGGTTCTGACCTTCTGTATTGCCATAACTGGGGAGAAACAAGTATGTCAGGATTCACAACACACTTTGTCACAGGTACCATAGGAAAAATTTGGTTTAAATCTGGACATTTCTATCATCTCTATACAAGTCATACATGTACTATTATCTTATAAATCAAATTAATAACTAAATAGTTTATATAATAATCTATTCCAAACTTTACAATTATAATTATTTTATTTTAGATATTTTACAGGTCCAACTAGAAAGGCCAATATTTGCTTTGGAGCAAATACAGCGATGGCTTCACCACATTTTATGACATGGCAGGGAAAGAATGAGAAACACAAGGGAAAACAATGATTTACATTGATATAACTATAATATGAAGTAACATACAACTAAAACAACAGTTGGATAGCTATTCCCTACTTTATTGGTTAGGATTTTTAATTGCATAATGCAAACTGTTGATTTTCAAAATAAATAAAAAAAACGTTCATGCCCCGCATTCCAATGCTGGAGCAGAAAAGCTTGCAATACCTACCAAAACACTTGAATAAAGACATACTGTCAGTATGGAAATGCTCTGTGCAGGTGTTAATCAAGTTAAATCCCAACAGCCAATCAGCAAGAAATGCTCTGTGCAGGTGGAAATGCTCTGTGCAGGTGTTAATCAAGTTAAATCCCAACAGCCAATCAGCAAGAAGTATAGAGGAAAGCTGCATGCCTATTGGTTGATGCCCTGCATTCCATTGTGATGACTCATGCCCAGACGTGGTAAACACGGCACACTAACACAGTAATACATTTGCTATAACACAGCCAAAAAAACTCAAATAAAACCATTCTAAAAGCCTGTATCACAAAAATTTAAAAAACGCCTAGGGGTATTTGCCCACTGTACCTCCATACCAAATTTCAGGACCTTAGGCCCTAAAATGAAGAAGCTGAATCCATTTAAAAAATGGCAGGAGAAGAAGGAGAAGGAGGAGAAGAAACATCAGAAAAAGCAATATGGGTTCACCACCACTTCGTGGTGTGGTGAACCCATAAATAGGCTCTAGGAGCCAAGAGACTGCAGGTACATGTACAATGTAATACATATACATGTAGCATGAAAGCTCATCTGAGTTGGTAAAATACGTCAATGAATGAGAATTAACTGTTCTCCAAACTTAGCTCAGTCTTCATCAGCTGTCTGACCAGAAAGTCAACAACATAGTACTATCTATTGGGAGTAATTTTGCGTATGAATATGAAAATGTACACTGTCAGTGAGAATAATAGAGTTGATAGGTCTATATACATTGTAAAATGCACTCGTATTTCCCGGCAGTTGTAAGATGGAAACAGGAACACTAGAATTGCCTGCCTTTATTTGGTGGTCGGCTTGATGTTGCATCAAACAAACTTGAGTTGACGGAAAAAAATTTAAGGCAGGCTAGAGCACTGACTTAACACAAATGCCCTCCAGTTACTGTACTTCAACTGAAACGTGAAGTATAACAGTCAGTGGTAATAGACAAGTCCCTATACAAACCTGAAGATGCTCAATAACAACAAGTGTGCCTGCCAACGCACTGATGTGGAGTTGGAGTGAAGCAGGAAGCAGTGGATGAAGCGCTCCCATAAAGCACTGTCTGCTATGGCCAGCAGCTGCTGTACAATAGACTGGCACATCTGCTGTCCTTCATTCACAGGATCATCCATACCTGAACACACAAGGTACAGAATACATGTATTACATACAACTAGTACACACATCTTACACACAAGGTACAGCATATTACACACAAGGTACACACATATTACACATGTACACACACAAGGTACAGACATCTTACACACAAGGTACAGACATCTTACACACAAGTTGCACACATCTTACACACAAGGTACTCACATCTTACACACAAGGTACACACATCTTACACACAAGGTACACACATCTTACACACAAGGTACACACATCTTACACACAAGGTACACACATCTTACACACAAGGTACACACATCTTACACACAAGGTACACACATCTTACACACAAGGTACACACATCTTACACACAAGGGTACACACAT